GGCACACACACACACACACACACACACACACACACACACACACACAAACTGCTCTCTGTCTCCCATATGACAAATCATATCCTGCACAGTTTGGTGAGTGATGGCACTTTTACGTTATTCAAAAGGAACTACATGTGCATGATTTATTTCCACTCCTAAGAGAACGCAGTACCATGGACAGAGAGCCATAACAACTAACAACAAAAAGCAATCAAAGATGTATAATTAGCTTTAGGTGGAGTTTTACGGCACTTGCAACGCAATAAGGTCATAATATTATACGTGCCGAAGATAGAGGTACCACAAGAGAGTAACAAACACAAAAAAAAGAAGGAGAGATACTTTACTTTACTTTTCCTTTTCCTTTTCCTTTTCCAATCCAGGGGCCATCTGGGTTCTAACCCTTTGGCCTGTCGAGACGGCAAAGAATTTACTGGTTTTTATTAGCAGTGTTTTGTTAATGATTCAAATTAAATAAGGGTTATCTGCATCGCAGTTCTACATGATACCAACTCAATCAACAGATAGACTATGCGTTTGCAAGAGTGTCTACATAAAAGAAAATACGAAATACCATCAGAAATATGAACCAGAATAAAACGCCAAAACTTTAAAAAAGGAAAATCAAGAAAAGACCGGGCAGCCATTTAGGTTAAACAGTGGATGTTGAATAGTGAGCGAAGAATGAAATAGCACTCTGGTAAATGTGAGAAAGAGAAGTATTTAAGTAGTATTTACTCTGTACATGTGTATTTCTAACAGCCACACCCAGTTTTTAAATTATCTTTCTTTCTCTCTTTCGTCATCCTTCTGTCTGTTTATCTCTTAATTTGTCCCTCTGCCTCACTCTACCGCTTCCTGTTTCATTTACCCCGTTTGTTTTCTTTTATTTCTTTTTCTTTCTTTCTCATTATAGCAGCACAATAACTGAATTGAACTAATGAAGTATGAGGAGCAGCTGAGTTTCATCCAATCCATAATCTATAAAAGAGTATGTTTCTCCCGCTCGCTCACTCGCTTTATTTCTCTGCCCCCCTCTCTCTATCTCTCTCTCTCTCTCCCCCCTCTCTC